CTCCCTCCCAATCCCACCCTTTGAGTGTCCCCAAACCTTGTCCCTCCCGAAGCGCCGCAGGAAGCGGTAGGGCCAGCTGTAAAGGACATCCCTGCTCTTCACGTCCCGCAGCTCCAAGGCTTCCTCGCCCGCCCGCAGCACGAAGCGGCCCCGCAGGCGGCAGCGCTCCGATGACTCGGTGGCCCTCAGCATCACCTCAAAGTCGTGCTCCACGCCTGGGGATGGGAGGAGGAGGGGATGTTTGCACCGTGCTGCAGCTCACAGCCCCGGAGGGGAAGCGGAGTCCGGCTGATAAAGGCGAAAGCCGCAATGAAACCCAGCCCAGCCTAACCGCAGCGCAGGAAAAGCACCCCAAGGCCGCTTCTGCAAGTGGTGCTGCCTGCAGGACGCTGCTCACCCACAGACACGGCCTCCTCCTCCCCACACCCAGACACTCGCCTTTGTGGGAGCTGTACAGGGAATTTTCAGCCATGGAGAATTGGCTGCTGGAGCTCAGCTCTCTGTCCTTCCCCACTGCCTCTTCCTCCTGGCTCCTCTGCAAGGAAAGAGACAGGGCTGAGCCACGGCTCCCACACTGCTGTTATCCCACCCATCTATATCCCAACGGGACCCAGCAGACCTCACAACCCTGTTATCCCATCCATCCATATCCCAATTTGATCCAGCCCACCCCACAGCCCAGTTACACCATCCATACCCTGCGTGGATCCATTCCCCAAATGGAACCAGCATCCTCATGCCAAGGTTATCCCATCCATCCAAACCCCAAATGGACTCAACCATCCCCCAAATGGACCCATCCATACCCCAAATGGACCCAAGCATCCCCCATATGGATCCATCTATACCCCAAATGGACCCAGCATCCCCATGCCACAGTTATCCCATCCATCCATCCCTCCCCCAAATGGACCCAACCATACCCCAAATGGATCCATTGATATCCCAAATGGACCCAGCATCCTCATGCCAAGGTTATCCCATCCATCCAAACCCCAAATGGACCCATCCATACCCCAAATTGACCCAAGCATCCCCCAAATGGATCCATCTATACCCCAAGTGGACCCAGCATCCCTCATGCCAAACTTATCTCATCCATCCATACCCCAAACAGATCCATCCATACCCCAAATAGACCCAGCATCCCCACGCCAAGGTCATCCCACCCATCCATCCCCCAAATGGACCCAACTAACCCCCAAATGGATCCATCCATACCCCAAGTGGACCCAGCATCCCCCATACCAAACTTATCCCATCCATCCATACCCCAAACGGACCCATCCATACCCCAAATAGACCCAACATCCCTCATGCCAAACTTATCCCATCCATCCATCCCCCAAACGGACCCAACCATCCCCCAAATGGATCCATCCATACCCCAAATGGAACCAGCA